GAGATGGGAATGATGAAAATGAATGAAACTTAATGAAACGTGATGAAAAATCATGAAAATCACGACAACTGATTCAAGATTCTCAGAAACGATGAAGCATGACGGAAAATTATGAAAACGCATGAAAATCTGGAAAAATCAATGATAACATGAAAGATGAAAACAAATTTATGAAATCATGAAAAATAATGACATATCATGCGAAACCATGAAACACCGCGAAAAAGTAACAACAAAATGATACAAAATGAACATGAAGGTACAACCCTGCAAAATAATGAAAACATTGGACAATTGAAAGAAAAGCATGGGATGCCATGAAAATCAACATGAATATGATGAACAAAGGTCGAGATTCATGAACATTGATGAAACATGATGAGCAATCCTTCCTTGCTTCCTTCCTTCCTTGCTTCCTTCCCACCTTCCTTCCTTCCTTCCTTCCTGCCTGCCTGCCTGCCTGCCTTCCTATCTTCCTTCCTTCCTTCTCTCGTTCCTGCCAGGGTACAGGGTTGAAGCCCAGGCATCAAAAAAGAAAATGCGGATCTGTGTACTCACCAGGAAATAAGCAATAAGTTCTTGTATGCTTTAACAAGTTTTTTGATGCTTATAAAGTTTTTTGTTGATGCTTGAGAAGGCCCAAAAAAGCTAGCGAGAAGAATAGCTGTACTAGTAAGGGCTCCGAGCACAAGCTGCAAATGCAACAAGAAGGCACCAGTGCATTGCGTTTGCACTGCGACTGCCGTCAAATTCCTTGCAGATCGAACATGCTGTTTTTTTCGGGAGCCTGCTGTTTTGGCAATGCTGTTGGCACCCCACATGCCTAACCCAGGCCACAGCTGCCATCCCACACTTGGCTGAGCACAATATGAGATCATATTAGGGCAGGTTCCGGCTGTACTTTCTTCTAGCACATTGGCGCTGCCGAAGACAATCATTCACTTGCATCAGCAAGTTGCCAGCTTCAAGCTGCACAGCAGCGAAGCACGAACTGGGCGCACTTGGTACAAGTGCCAGAACGAGGCAAGGGTAGGTAGATGTTCACACATGCAGGGAAGTTATACTTTCTACAATATATGTACAACCCTCACGAAGCGTCAACCGATCCGCCCAGGCGCCGCCTGTCAGCTCCAGTTCCGTCAGTTGTACACACCACATGACGATACAGCTGCCCCGACCTACCCCTAAACCTCCACGGGGATCAGTTTTCAAAAGTTCAATCTGCAGCTAGGCACCCAAGTGCGTACATGAATCCAATTGCAAGGCCAACTCTCATGATTCGATTGGGTCTGGTGTCCTTGTGCGAAGCCCCTTCTCATGCCGCCAATCTCATGTCCAGATCGCCATGAAACTCTCTGAACCTGTCTTCCAGACCACCAGCTGTGGTAAGGCCTACGCAAGCGCGCACAAGCGAACTCCCAGGCAGCCACCGCGGGCCTAGACCAAAACATGGAAGGAACAATGCACCGCTGGTCGAAAGCATCACAGGCAGCTGTACGAGCACTATTCTTTCAAGCTAGCACTGTTAAGTGCCGTGATGGCAAACGTTGTGAAACTTGGCAGGCCTTGCCATGTGGGTACATTGACAATTCCCCCTGGTTGTTGAAGGATGTCGAGCGTGATCAGCAATTCTAGCAAGCGTACGCGTCGAGCCACGACAACAACAAAACAACTGGCTACATCCTTCGCAAACTGGGGAACGAGTTGAGTCTTCGAATTCTGGCACTGGAAGCGCGGCGGCTGCATTGTGGAGTCAGACATGCAGTCGCAGACCAGTCAGAAACCACCTCAGTCCAGGAGTAGCTTGAATCCAGGTGCCAGCCAGCTAGGCGTCAACCGATGCATTGTTCTCTGATTTTTCTTCGTCTTAATCTTCTCTTCTTCTTCCCGCTCTTTCGTTTCCTTCCTTCTGGGCTGTGCGTGGACACTCGAGCACTACATCCCGGATTTTTGCAAAGTTTCTGTTTTATTTAAGTCGGCTGTCGTGGACAGGAATGTTAACTGAAGTGGTGATATGATGTTTGCTCTGCCCTCATGGAGCCCCTGTTTCCTGTCTCCTTCGCCAGTTTTTTGCCTGGAAGAAAAGGCGTCTCAGCGAGAATGACAAGAACAAGCGGAACAGGGCTTTGGTTTCCGTGATCAGGAGTAACCACCATTTGGGGAAGACCCGCATGGGCCAATACATAGTCACAGGGGGACTGCAAGTAGAGAGAAGCTGAGTATGGTGTGCGTGTTGCGGGGCACTCGGAGGAGAGCAGGAAACTCGATTGCCGGGGATTTCGTGAGGGAGGGCCACGAGATCTGATGGCATGACGGGAGAGTGACTTGTCAAGGTTTAAGTTTCAGGATTTAATAAGACAGCCAGAAATTTGTGCCGTGATTTCCTGTAAGAACAGTCGGTGGTGGCTCTTCCCCCTGGTTCGTCTGCGTCCTCGTAATGCCCTTGCCGAAGCCAAAGATCTCCTGGGTCACGCGGTCTCCATGTTTAGAAGGTTTTCCTCCTCCGGGTCATCGCCATCTTCCCGTTGCCGCGCCTGTGGTTGTTATCTTGATGGTTGGTTTGCGGGTTTTGGTCGGGGAACGAGACGTGTGTCTTTGTATTCGTGGTAGCACTACTGAAAAACCTGAAAAGTTAGCGCGCTATGTCATAGTACGCTTAGTGCTGTCTGCAAGATATGGCATGGTTGCGCAGTCTGATGCCGCCCTTCGCAGGGCGTGAAGACTCTCACACGATCTAAGGAGGAGTCAGGATGATCCCACCACCTTTCTTTCAGTTGCTGACCATACATATCGAGTTCGCCTCATTTGAGGCGGCCATCCTCGTAACCCCCAGGCCCTGATTTGCCCACGGGTTCGTATGGGAATCCCAGACCAATTTCGGGTAATTCCGTAGCTCGGGCCGATAGCCGATAGGCCCCAAATTGATGCCAAAACCTTGTCCTCCAAACCAATACCAAGACCACCAGGCACCGTCAGACCGTCAGACAAAGTGTGACATCCGTTGCAGCATCCAAAAAACTATAACATGTTACGTGCACATGCATAAGGCCTTTTCTTCACTCGCACCCGTGTCGACGGCTTCCTTCCTGCAACTGCAGTAGCGCTTTGGGTTGCATGCCTTGCGATCCCATGGCTATGCAAGCATCTGATGGGGACCTGCGTCCTTCAGACACACCCCACCGGGTGAAAGAAAAACCCACAACCATCCGTGAGGATGCCGCAAACACGTTCTGGAAAGGAAAAGAAGTAGCTGGTCCCAGGCTCCTTGCAGCTAACAGCTGCACATGCCATTTGGGCTTGAGCCAGCGGCCAGCACTGTGCAACAACAATAACATGCTGCCAATCCCACCGAACCCAGTCATGTGAACAAGTAGTGGCACTCGTCTCCCACTACAAACACACACACACACACACACAACATGGCACGAAAGCTGCACCTGCCCTTCCCAGGAAGCACCCTTAACGGATAAAAAATGAAGTGTTCGGGCTGCGCGTTACGAATTTCCTGCCTGCCCTGCCCCAATGCTACAACATATCTATTCCGTGTCCGCCATGGTTGCTACCGCGATTTCCATCCACCACGAACAGCCCAGGGGACTTAGGCAGGAAGCCAACACAAAAGAGCTGCCACCCCCCTAGAGCAGCATGCGACTCCTTCGTAGTAGCTTCGGACAGCCCAGTTCTTTAAGGGTACCCTTCTTCTTCTTCTTCTATGGACGCCAGCTCCTTGCTACGCCTAGAAGCTTGACGAACTGCACCAGGGTCGGGTGCCAAGCGCCGTTCGCAACAACCGCGTATTCGAAACTTGTATCTCTCCCCTGCGGCAGATTTTGCCGTCAACAAGTGCGGCACGAAACTCCAAAGCCTGAAAAAGCAGCCATTACTTTGCTTACCTCTTTTCACCTGCCTTGCTGCCATACAGCTTGTCCGCTTGACCGGACTCGTGGCACCAGGAACTCCACCAACTCGACCTTTCAGGTTCGACTGCTGGCAACCCAGGCACAGGACATACAGGGATCTCTGGATTGAAGCTCTCAAGCCTTGCGCTGCTCCACCGTTCGTGCATAGTACACACGGGCTGGTGCAGCACCATCTGGTCCACCACAATGCTTCACCTCTACCACGTAGCCGCTCATGCGGAACCTCCACAACACTCTCACCCAAGAGAGTGGCAAAGTCCAAAACAGCCTCTGCAGTCAAGCTGCTGAAGGTCCACAATGTGACAGCTGAGCTCCACTGCGTCGCGGCCGACCTTCTCAAGAATGGGAGCCTGGTCAAGGTGCGCAACTCTGGTTGGGCTAGGGCTTTGCTTTCAGCATCTGAGCACAAGCCTCGATGTGCAATGCAGCTGCAAGGAGATCTGACAGCTTAACCTGGTCAGTCCAGGCTTGTCAAGCTTGAGTCCTGTTCGTCTATTGCTCCCTCCTTCCGGCCTCAGGCTGTTTCTGACAGCATTGGTGCCAGCAGCGTGCCTGATGCCGATGCATGTCCTGCGGAACGACTGACCAGCGCAATTTGCGGATGACGGCAACCGCGGCTCAGCAACACTCCTCAGGCTGCTGAAGGGCCTCTGCTGCATTGCTCTGCCCAGCCTCCTGTGCAAAGCACAGGTGAGCGTGCCCATATCCTCCCCCAAATTGAACTCCACAATGAGGCCTGTGCAAGGTCTCTGGCACTGCAACCATGGTAGTCGAGTGCCAGGATGACTTCCGTGGAGCAATAGGGCAGCAATATTTGCAGCACCTCAATCGAACATGTGCCAAAAAAACGCACTTGCTGCGTGTATGTCACGCTTTCTCAAACACGAAGCCTCCACATGACCCTTGACAGCAGCAAGGTGCAGCGCCGTCCACTCCTGTGAACGTTACAGAACTTTGCTATGCTGTCGTGCTGGTTGTCTGCTAATCCTCAGTCCTGAGGAGTGCGAAGACCGACATCTGCGTTAGCTTGTAGGAGAGCCGAGCAGCACTTGGCTGAGCCACCTCATGCAGCCAAATGATAGCAAGCTGATGGCTCCTGACAGTGCGTTTATGCTTTTCAACACAACCCACTTCAAGCAGGCTGCCATATGCCGAGGAGTGCAATGGAGTCCACCCCCTGCTGCAGCGCTGGTTTTTGAGGGCTCTTGCTGCTGGCACAGCAAGCAGCAAGCTGCATATCCTCACAATGGCACTTCTGCTGACATGCTGTGAGACACGTTCCATCGAGGCTATCCGAGTCCTTGCAAAGCCCAGGGCAGCTGCCCAATGCAGGGCAGTGAGGCCGCGCTTGTCAGTGTGCCAAGAAGCCGCACCTCTCCTGCAAGGGGGGAAGCCAACCCGTCGCTGTGGCTCTGCCATGACGCGGGTGGTCATGGTACTGCGATTGCGCACGACGCGTCCTAATCAGCAGCTGCGTGGCACCAACCAGTCCGTGGCGTACCGCCCAGAATAGGGGAGTATGGCCATGAGGGTCTTCCTGCAAAAGTCAGAGAGACTGAGGGACTCAGACTTCATGCCTGACACGAAGCGGCTCCTGCAGGTTCAGCTCTGGATGTCGCTCCAGCAGCGCCTGACAAACCTCAATTGTCTTTGCATGGCTTCCACACTGCGAGAACCTCCAAGCGTGGCCTCCAAGCTACCACATCCGGCAGCGAAGTGCAAGGCATTTTCGCCTTCAAGTGTCTCACACTCCTCACGTCTCAGCGGGAAGCCTCAGGATGTGGAGGGCCAATCGCTGGCTTTATGGCGAGTCACTGAGATCACCAAACACTTTCAGGAAAGGTGCTCTCTAGGATTGAAAGGATTCGAGAGGTAGTTGCCTCATATTCCGCTTTGAAAGCCTCTGGAGCTTCAAGGGAAGTGCGATAGAGCGCCTTGAGGATGTCCGGCACTGGCCTTCAGCTTCGCTGCTTCGCACATTCCACATTAATGCTACCAATGCTTCGCCCAATGCTTCCCAGCAGCTTAGGAGCCAGGGCAGGCTGGGCAGGCGACCAGGCCATGGCAGCGCCAGGACGGCCATGGCATGAGTGGCATGAAGCTGTGGGCCGCAGCTGTCAGTACTTCTCAAGTGCTTCCATCCATGCATGCAACGGGACTTATCAGTGATTCACACTTAAAGGAAAGCGCCTTCCACAGGCTCCCACCGAAGCGACGGTCACTTCATGCCTGCTGCCAGAGATACCACAACACATCCTGGCTCAGCATTTCATTCACAACGGCTTGCGCCAAGCGCTTCCTGTCATTCTGGGTAATTACAATATATCACATGCTCAAACTTACTAATTAATTACTTGGCAAGGCACCTTACAGTCCTCCAAAGTGGCCCTATTGTGGGGCTGGAGCCTAGTCCTTTTGTCTGCCGAGAGCGCGGTCTGTAGATCGCTCCATGATGTCAAGACAACCTATTCACTGCAACCGTCAAATCTCATCAAAGCTTGGCCGGGACACCTTTGGCTTCTTGTAAAGCTGAATGTCCCGCGTTTCAGCTTGCATGCATAGGTACTCCCCCAGCAGAACTGCAACAAGAAGTGCAGGCAGCTGGATGATCCACCATTCCATATTTGCCGGGAAGCCTTCAGCAAGGAATGTTGCTAACAAGTGAAACAAGTGGTAGGTCGTCACGAAATCCAGACACTTCTTTGCTCGCTGGACGACGAAACGCAACTCCACAGCCATCACCACTGAAGTGAACCACAGCGCCAAAGCCAGAATCAGTCCTCTCTTTGTGCTCCAGGTATATGCTTCAGGCTGAAACAACTGCGCTGCACTTTGTTCTTCGCTGCAGAGCCAATCTGCCAGAGCAACGGCTGCACCGAGGCAAAACCAAAACGAGCTCTGCATGACCACAATCTGGGTAGTGATGAGTCGCGGGTTGAATTGGTCGGCACCAAAAAATCTGCCTTCAGTCATCGCGCGGACGTCATGAAGCTTCGTACGCAGGCACTTTCATTTTCTTGCAGCTACATCTTTACGGGACCTATCTCCACTGTTAACAGCACTTGCCAGTCACAACGTCAAAGCGAGTCGTTAGAGAAAATTCGTGCTTCATCTTGTATACTTCTGCTTGCTTGGCAGGTGACGGTCACAGTGGTTGCTTCTTGTCATTTTGGAGTCTGGTTAGAAGTCACTGGGCTTCTGGTGTCACCACTTCATTATAAGTTCATCCGGGACTGAGGCCCAAGTTGAGCCAAATGTCGGCCCTATGGCTGCGACAATATCAACTCTGTCAACTCTGTACCGGTCTGGACTCTCACACACTAGATGGCCCTGCAAGAGCTTCACAGCGCGAGCCCTAGGATGCAAGTCGCACATACACATTACCAGTCTGCTTACCTTAATTCTTCTGGCAAGACAAGTTGAAGCCTGACATCCACCAATTTGCTTCCTGCATTGCTCATGGCTGAAGGCTGGCAAGGGCACAGGCAAAGGGCACATACCGAGCTTGGGAGCCTCAAAGAGTGACTTGTGATGGCAAAGTAGCTGAGTATTTACCATGATGGACCTTGACATGTTCTTCGTGGTTGCCCTTCTCAAACCAAATCGATTTTCCCGGCCCGGGATGTTTTGCCAACACCTACCTCCTCGACTTCAGGATCTTCGGGCTTGGTGCAGCTGTTGTATGCATACTGCCGATTCATGCCAAAACTAGTTTTTTGTAGTACAGGAGGCGTTCCTTCCAGGACCTGCTTGAGCCTTGCAACTCGTATCCTGCTGCCGCTTGCCACGAAGACTTGAAAAGCAAGAGCCATAACACAAGAATGACATCAACTATGGCTTGTGGCAGGTCTGCAATATTCGGCGATCAGCATCAACTGCGGCAATGCAAAAAATACTGCGGCAGCCTGCAGGCATTGTGGCACCTCAGACAGCATCTGTCTCAAACAGGCCATCAGTGCCTGTCGCAGCGACGACAGGTCAGAGCCAGGTACCGGGGCTGCCTTCCAAGCATTCTGCATCAGTGCCAATCTATGGGCGGAAGGTTCCTCTGTTTCCAAGTGCAGCAGCCTTCTGCAAGGTGCGCTCCAAACAGTGGAAAGCCTGCAAAATGCTAACCGAAAATCCCGGGTGCAGGGATGATGAGCTTGCGGTGATAAGTGTTACCATGCATGCTTCATGAAAGGCGGGGACGCGCAAGGCAATGGTCCAGCCGGGCTCTCCCAGCCTGAGTGGGCTGCCCAGCCATGCCAATTAAAACTGGACATCAAGCGCGCCTGGTGACTGAGAGGAGAATTGAAAAACAAGTTTGTTTGGCTGGGGCCCAAGCAGACCTCCGAAGCGGTAGCAGAAGTGGACAAGTGCCTGCAGCGGGACGCGCACACACCAGCCAAGGCACTGTCCGAATGCAGCAGCTTCACGGGATGGTTTGCACTAGAAGGAAAGGAAATGCACCCCGTCCTTGAAACACAGCAAATTCTTCGCACTCGGCATGTTGCCAGTCGAGCTGCCAGAGCCTTGCGCTCAGACTGGCAATTAATCGCACGCTGCCTGTGATAGCTTTCTGCGATGTTCTGGGCCACGGGCCGGTAGCACCAGCAGCCACCTCTCCATCACCCTGTCCAGTCGCATGCGCATTGCATCCAACGGAGGCAGGGCCAATGCTGTACACACATGACGCAGTGCAATGACAAGTGTCTTTGCCAATTGACAAGTGTTTTACAAACTCTGTAGGTGCCAAGGTAAGGGTTGCTGTCCTGCAGCACAATCCAAAAACGATCTGCAAACTCGTTGGGCACCATGTTGACTAGTCCAAACTATGTCAGAATACTGTCGGAGTAATCGTCAGATTGGCTATCCATATCCGCATGGCGACCAGTGCCCATCTACAAGCAGTTGTTTTCAGCTGTTGCCAAGAATCAACTCAGACCTCCCGGGCATGGCTTGGCCACGCATAGCGCGAGAACCTTGCGTACATTGCAAGGCATCCTTTCTGGCCGTCCAGTGGCTGTGGGCCTGCTACTGCTTGGCAGAACGCGTCTGCATGAGCTTGCAAGACTGTTCAGGTGCGAAACCTCTGGGCGAGTCGTGAGAAAAGCTGGGGAGCACGCTGGAGCAGGCATGCCTGTGCCCAAAGCACAGTGACTGCTTCACACATGAAGCTCATGTTTGAGTGTAGCTGCAGTATGGCTGGGTTCTTTGCATCTCGAGCTTGATCGAGTGACAACCTCGGTTAGTGGAAGGCAGGATAGCACGTGCGTTTGAATTCCGCCCGCCTGCTGCAGCAGTATAACAGGGTCTGCAGGCAGCGAAGTGCCTGCATAGGCCCAAAGGGGAGGAGGACATGCAATGTGTCTCTTTGATCACCCACACCTGCTGCACTGACGCTGACTCCGACGTCCTGAATGAAGAAATGTGCACCTACACAATTTAAGCGACATTAGATGCCTTTGAGCGCGAGACCCATGTAGCAGCAGGGACAAAGCAGAAAGGATTGACCTGCCACGCGTATCTGGGTCCCTGTCTTGTGCTGATAGCATGGGCGTTCAGATCAGTCAGTTTCACCGCCTTGCGTTTTGGGGCTTTCAAAACAGTTATGCCTTTTCTTCATACCAAATTGGGATCATCGCTCTTTCTTGTTGCTGTATTCTTGTGGGCCCCCATCTATGTTTTCAAGAAGAAGCTTATCTAAAGTCTTAGGAAAGGCGTGATAATACAATCCCATTTGTAAGGTGCTCCGGCTGTTGAGCTGTTTGGGAAGGCTTGCTAGGGTTGTGGAACTGATCATGTTCCTGCCATGCTTCAGGGCAGGAGCTACGCAAGTACCTCCTGCGCCTGGCCCTTGCTGCAATTTGGCTTGCACTATGCTGCCCAACCTGCAAACCACCCTCAATCGGGGTGTCCTTAGAAGCTTCCCCTTAGATTACGGTTGAACTCACCCACTGCACACATCGCAAGTCACAAGAGATAGTCCGATGATATGAGGATTGAACGTGTGGAGATAACTGGGCCTTGCATGGTGCATCCACATAAGCATTCACCGAAAATCCTTGCATAACCCGATGCCATGGACATCTTGGGGGGGGCCCATCGCTTTTGGTGGTTTTGGTGTAGTATGAAAGAAAGGTATCCATTTTGGGGGTTCAGCCAAAACTAAAACACAGTCATGGTTTTGTCTTAGATGAAGCGGTATAGCTTGGGGGAGATCCTATCGGTTTTCTAGCCTTTTGCGCGGCTCCTGCATCTCACGGCTCGTTCCTAAAACGTGAGCATTGACCATCGCTCACACGTGTTGGTTTAACTATGCTGCAAAGCTTCAAGCATGGCTGGCAGGCGCCCAGCTGTCGATAAGCATACCCTTGCAACGTTCCTGCCGGAGATGCATCTGCACTCTGCACCCATCATGGTCGAGAGCATGACGAGCCTTGCCTGTTCCGGTGAGAGTTGGCTTAAAGCCGATAAGCGGCCACCAGGGAACGGCCTTAAAGTCTGCTGAAGAGCTGCGAGGCAGCTCAGAGACCGCAGAACTACAGGACCAGCAGAACTATAGGCTGAAGTCAGGTTTAAATTTCCCCTGTCACTCTGAGCTGTATACCCATCTGGTGTACTCGTCGCCTGAAGGTGTACCGGTAGCAGCCAGATGGAGCCAGCTTGGCACTAAGAGCTGCACTTCCCACTGCCTGCATCTTCATAAACATGCTGTCGAGACACCCGAACCATCCGCTGCTCCACTGGGGTCTCCTTAGGACACGGTGCTTTCACGCCCGAAGCACCGACTCTTTTCAACGGAGTCAACATTTCGGCGGACTTGGGCCCTGTACACAGTTATATCACGAGACGGTAGGAAACTGCAACTGCTCAAGAGACCTACTGAATGTGATAGTTTTCAACTTCGGCTGCAATTCTCTTGCCACGGATTTTCTGTTTCTGCCACGGATTTTCTCTTGCGCGAGGTCGACTGGAAATCTCTCCCAACTTTGAGTGAAACTCCAGCTGCAGCAGCATGGGCTTGAAAACGCCAAGTCACGGCAAGTGACACGGCAAATCGCTGTACAGGATGCCGTCACCAATTTCTAAGTCCAAGAAAGCAAGCCTCTTCCCGTCCTGGGTACAAATGCACCGGATGCACTGGGTCTACAGTCGCGCAGGACATCTTCAATGTGACAAGCTGTTAAGATCAGCACTCAGCGATGGGTTCTGGAATGGTGTGATCAATTCAATGCAACTAATTTCTTTACCCAACCAACCTCTGAACTGCACCTCGAACATGGAACTGCGGCAGCCTTGAAAGGAAGACTGTACCAGACCATTTCCACATACCTTTCTATATATATATATACATATGTATACAGATGGACATGCCATTAAATCGGGACATGACGTTGGGCGATTGAAGGAGCTCACGATTACAATATCAAAATATACCCTATCCAGCTAAGTGGTGATGCGCAGGAAGACACGGGAACAAGCAAAGACTTGGATGAGAAACTCATCAGTGAGCCGCGCAAAAAAAAAGCAGAGCCCAAAGGGGTTAGGTAGCCAAAGGTTTGTCAACCACGCGCACTTATAAGAAAGCAGAACTCAGCAACACCAGAAACAATGAATTGGGAAGGATGCATGCGGTGCATCCTCATTAGATCTCCCTCGTGAGCCCCTGATCACATCCACAGACATAAAGTCATGACTCACGTGAACGATCGTGAACGCCGAAAAAGACCAAACTGCCCGCACCCTGGATGCCAGTTGTGCCAGGAGTGTGTGGCGCGCAAGCTTTTTAGAAATTTACTTCGAGTGCGGGCTTAGCCCGTAAAGCGAATTTGGCGAGGATAATAGAATCATGATGCAGCAAGTTCGTTGGTATTCTCAGAAGCCTACTACCGTGCTGACACTCCGCAACGCTCGTGCGAAAATCTTCACCAAGGCTACTACTGCGGATTTTCCCTTATGCCGAAATAGATTTGACTTGGGCCCACAGATTCAGATGTACACGCACGACGTTACCGTGTGTTGGCCTTGGCTGAGTTGATTGCTTTGGAAATGAATCTGGCGCCCATGGAAATCTAGAGACGCGTTGTCGGCTTGTTTCACTGGTTAGGTTTGTTTGGCTACTGGTTCGGCGTGGGAAAACTGCAATCCCACTAGCTGCTATGGATTGGGTTGGCACTCTGGATAGGTGGTTTTGACAAGAAGGCGGGACAAGGATGGGCCTGAGACCTACACACTGCAGTCCCAGCAGCCTGCGCATAAATTGAGCTGTAGCCAGCTCCGTCCCACGAATATTCGCGGTCAGTGCTCCAATTTGCAGCCTGGATGCTCCCTTCAAGTAATCGCATCCCCTTAAAAGGGAAAAGCCTGAGAGTCCGAAAACTATGCCTAATGTTGCTAGGCTAAAGTGAATTTGCGGGACTCAAGTCAGGGGAAATCCGTCAGGTTGGAGCCCAGAAGATCAACTCCAACGAGAGCCCCCCGCAATTACCCCCAGCCAATTGCTTCATCAGTTAGTTCCACGACTTCATGAATATTGATACAAGAACTCCCCAACTACATCTGATCTAGCCGTATTCAGCACTTCACAAAAACACCCTGAGAATGCAATGAAGTGCTGGAGAGGTGGCCGACCCCTCAAATTTTACCGGCATTTAAGAAGGGCCCACAGTCCCTCAAAATTGTCCGCCTATATGAAAGGCCCAAAAACCCAGCACACACGATCTGTAATCTGCTAGGGCACCTTAGCATTTGGCACCTGGAAGCTAAATGTCATCCACATGAACCAGCAGAAGAGCGCAGGCATACGCTCCACCTCTCTACCTGTCACCGTAAACCCTCAACGTTTTTTTCATTGTCGGTTGAAACAACAAGCGGCAAGCACTTTCTCCATCCGTTCCAACTAATCGCTTCCCCCTAACAAGCAACCCAGCCTAATAATGAACCCTCCTCCCAGAGAATCCCCTATTCCAGAAATTGCCTGGAGACTACTTTGAAAAGAAGCAAGATTACCTGTGAAAGGGTGCTCGTAAAAATATATTCCGCGGGGAGTCGGGAGCGGTTCTGAGGTCATTAGTTGGGTTCTACCCAAACATCCAAAGGAATTACAGATCCCCTTAATTTCCGTTGTCTTTAAACACTGTTTTGTTCAAGAGGAAGTTGCATATAGCCAAAATCCAACTTTAAATTGATGTTCTTACCATGCTAGTGGCGTGGCATTTGATTTTAGCTTTTTTAGCTTTCAAAGGGTTTTCGCTAGATTCTAATCAATTTCAATTAGTTTGTGACCGATTCTAATTCGATTTTTATAAGATTTCATATGACTAAAAGAATGTGGTTGACTATAATTAAATGTTGAAAGGTCTTAATGAGAGATCAATGAGATCCTGAATAGAGTTTAACATTTAATTAACTTGAATTAGATTTTCACTTGGTTTTGGTTAGATCCCCTATGAGTCTGTGCAATAAAACCCTGCGCTGATAATAGATGCTCGGGGGGTTCTTAACTAAGGGAAGGCGGGCAGACGCTCATCATTACGGGAAGGAGTTAATAGTCAAGGCTTGCACTTCTGAGCCTGCACCAAGATTTCCCCACCATGCGCGGCCCAATGCTCTGACATCGGTGCATTGTCGTAGGCATACTAAATAGGCCCATCTCCCAAGCCCTGCCTGCAATTTCAATCTCTGGAAACTCCAAAGAGACCCAAGAACCACAAGCTGTTGAGTACAATGCTGTCAAGATTTTAGAGGTCCAAGAGGCGATGACGAAGCACTTCAGAGCATCTTTTCCAAGGTAGGCCTCGGACAGGTCCTGCGACTGACGCGTCACGGCTGCTTCTATCATGTTGGCTCCAGTCCACCAGTACTCAACAAAAATCAGAGATGACTTTGAACAGCTTGTGCCTTGCGGAACCAGCGCTCAGTCGGACCATCTGTTGGATGTCCAACCCAGGCCACCGAGTACAGGAGCGCCCAGAGATTGACTTTCCTGGTTCCGAAGTTGGTGCATCATTCATTACTTTCTTGACCCTCAACAACCGCCAAGGTTCGAGTAGAGCTCTGCCAGACGGTGTATGTCATAGCATATGCCTCAGTCAATCTTGCTGTCCAAATCGCCTGTCTGTGACATCACCTTGCCAGCTGATCCCCTATCTGCTCTAAGGAAGGGTTTTGCAAGTCGAGTGCTACGAATCCTTTGGCTCGCCATAAACGGATAGACAGAGCTCAACATCTAGTCTGCAGCTTCATGGGTGCAAACGTGGCGAACCCTTCCAGCCACAAACTCCAGTCCCTGGACCATTCTGGCCGTAAACTTGAGTTCAGGCATAGATGAGCAAGTTGGCAGAGCTACCATCCCAATCAAAGCTAGAGAGTGACATGTGGTACGGATCTTCCTATTTCCAACTCTGTTGCGTTCGGCACGTCTGATGCTTTAGATGCTGCACCTTCTTATACATAGTATTTGAGAAGGACTTAAAAAAAAGGGAGTCTCAGCGCCTCCGCTTTTTAAAAATCATACGCGTTGCCAATCCCAATTCGGCCGAACTCAGTGTCCACGAAGCCAGGACTATCGCCGCGAGAGGCCCAGCTGCCGTCAACATAGTCCTGGCAGAATCAACGCAAGTGCCCTTCTAGCCACGGTCAGGCCATGGCGAACCAAACAGACTCCAGCAGTCCCAAAGGTGCGTCTTGCGGTAATGTACGACCTAAGCTTGCATTCACGAGATATACATGCGGGAAGCGGTTTCAGGGCTTACTGAATGTGATGACCACAGAACGCAACTGTAACAAACGAATAGCTCACAGCACGCAGTTGGAACAAACATCCCCAGAAGGATACATTTCATGATCGTTGGGAGTTCTGTAGTTTGGAGAATCCTTTATGAAACGAGCTCCAAGTCTCCAATGGATAGGCAGGATCCAGAAGATGATGGCACGCAGGTATTGAGGAGGGGGAATTTGCGTTCAGATGCTGAGTGGACACGCCACGTGCTGGGTCTTCTTTGCGTTTGCTGGAGCGATGACGATGCGTGGCAGATGAAGGAGAGACAGAAGTAGTGCTGCAGACCTTTCCCGTTTTTGTGTGCTTGCTTCAATTGTGTAAATGACGTAATTGCAGCCGTTGGTACTTCTTCGTCTACATGCTGGCATGGACAAAGGGAGCACACATGACCGGCAAGGAGACACGGAAACACCACGAAAAACTGAAATATTGGCTAGAAAGGGGTCTTTCCATAAGTGCTCCCGGCCGCACATACCAGCGGAAACTTTGAACTGCATCAGCATCCCAAATAAGAGTTAAGTTATAGCATTGAAAGGTTGAAGCAACTGCTCGGAATGGCAGCCGAAGAAAAAGTTGAGCAAACGTGTCAAGAATTGCAGGGAAGAGTCAAAGGCACAAGCGGGCTGAACCCCGGAAGAATCTGCTGCAAATAACCGTCACAGAACCATACGTGCTGCGAAGGCGCCACTTTCCCAGATGGTGCAGCTAAACAAACGGTGTTGAAAAACTGCGCGCGCTCCACACTTTCCTCCATGAATGGTGCTTCCTCGACGAAGGGAATGGTCATGTAAACGCCCAGCTCCTCAGTTGATCGAAGTGAGAAGGCACAGGTACCACATATCCCTCACTGTCAGCACAATTTGGTCCGATATGATCCGCGTATCCTCTCACGATGCCCACTTGTCACACCAATCCCTGTGGCCACCACTGGACTGCTTGCTTTGCACTAGGCCAAGATGCTTTGGCCAAGGCCACTAGCCTCCGCACGATCCTCAGGCTCAGCAAGGCTTAGAAGGCTTAGCACAGGAAAGGTGTGGTGACGCCGTGGCGCATCCTCTCTTTTTGCGGCACCGCTGCACGCTGGTCCAACGGCTCTCCGAACTTTCTCGGATGGGAGGACACGTTGCTGTGCAAAAGAGTCCCTGTAGGCTGGCCACGTGAAGCAAGTGCGCATGCGGTCCAGGTCCAGGCTTCATGGTCTGTGTGTGTGAATTGGAAGAATCTAGAGTTCAGAGTTGGTGCTCCCTTTTTTGGTAGCCGCTTCTTCAGCTTGCAATCGCTCACGGGCCTTATCAACCAGCTTCCGGTCTCTGTCCTGCATGATCCGCTCGGTCAGCGCATAGAAGTTCTTAAACTCGTCCAAGACCAGGACATGATCTTGGTTCATGTCAGCAGCTGCGAAAGCCTTTTTGAAGGCTTTTCTCACATCTCTGGGCAAATCTTTGAAGCCTTCACTGTGCCGGACTTCGTGCCAGTGTATGGTTCCATCTCTGCTCAGGTCCATGTTGTCCAGCAAGGCCTCAAAATCCTCACTGTGCACAATGCCTTGGAGCACCAGGATCCCTAAGATTCGGAAGTACCGCGGCATCTCACGTGTACCATGCACCTGCCAAAGCCAAGCAAATCCTTAATTTGCTCTGCCGTCTTTGGCCGCAGTAGCCTAGCCTCAAGAGCATTTCCGGAAGCCCATGGCCACAGCAATTTGAGCGAGTCTACCTGAAATTGGTTCCTCTAAGCCACAAGGCAGCCTGGCATGCAGCATCATCACAGAAAGTCTGGTGTTTGCTTTTTGCATCTTTTTGCAACAGGAACAGTTACAACTGTCGTGCTCCATCCAACCTGTTCAGCAAATCATGCCTCACTCGGCCCTGGACGGTGAGTCGACTTTTGGCACAATTCCGGCCGGGTTGATGCCCGCGAATCGAGGTTGCAGGCGACGCTGCGGGATGTGCCAGTTGTGGAGGAACGCCTGCGACGTGTACCTTGCAAGCTTGGAGATCTTGGAACACAGCATAGAGCACAGCCTGGAGTAGCCCAATCCATTCTTCCAATTTGGGCTCCGGGTGGCCCTGTAAGCGCAGCCTCTGGAAAAACGATGATCTTTGCACCATTCTCCTTGGCTATACGAAGACTTTAGGGCACAAGCAAACGCAAGCAAGCAATCCATCAGTTCCTGCGCGAAGTCGTTCTGTACAGCTTTCGTTGCACTTGAACGCCTAGTTGCAGCAGCTTTCCGCGCCAAGCCCTCCATTTTGTGGGCATTGTCCTATCAACATGCAAGGCCAGAAGGGTCTACATATTGTGATTTCGAAAACCATGCAATGCTGGCTGTTGCCTCCAGCGCTTCAGCAGAACCCATTTGGCTGGAGCACTGAATGGCCTCAACCAAGGCATTGGATCTGGCATCCCAAAATTCACTGGACATGGGAAGGCAACTCAAAGAAACTAGCTGCTTTTCATCAACTTGAAGCCATAAGTCAATGGCATGGCCCAGGCAGTCTCTTGGGCTCTGGCAGCCACCCGCACAGATGCTGGCCGAGCCAGCTGCCGCATGCCTTTCGCACCACGGTGGCAGCTTTCGTTGACTTAGCCCCACGGTTTGTTCAGCCTGTATTACGCGCGCCTGCAGCTGTTTCTAGCAGACCATGCCAGCATGAGAAGCAGGAGCTCAACCAGGAGCCCTCCATGCTGAAGCTATCGCAATGATATCCGAGCTTCTCTTTGATGGTGTCCTTTGCCTGCTTCGTTGCATGCACAAGCCTGCTCTCCTGCTCTCCCGGCACTTGTGCATTCAAGCCCAATTAATCTTTCCCGCATCTCCGAGTTTGACCTGCGATCTGATCTACTGAGTGTTTTCGTAGTTCGTCTTTGCCCTGTATGTGCATCCAGCTGCTGGCAGAAGGATTTTGGAGTTGGAAACGCTGCAGACATAGAGCTTGCGAGAGCAGCATGTGTTTTGAGGCATCTACACATATGCAGGCCTTTCTGCACTTTGTGTCGCTGAGAACGCAACTCCAGCCGTCTCTTCAGCAGCAGCGCCGTCCTTCTGGAATGACACAGACAGAACGCCAGCAACTGCTGGAGATACCCCTCATGAATCGCAGCTCAGCGCGGGAGTCTGTCAAACCATCTAGTTTCAGTGGTCAAGAACCAGAGCTCCCAGCGTCTCCTCTGTGTCTAGAAGAAGCCGGTACATGGAAGAGACCTGATAAAGGACGGACGTACCACGATATCTGCGAGCTCTATCCTTGTCACTTGACACAACCCAGAACCTTCGCCTGCAATAAGAAGCTTGGTAAAGCATGCCTACAGGCGACAGCAAATATTAATTAACAAGTAGACTCGCATGCTTCGCGCGCGGGATTGGAATGCGTGGGCGCATCTTATCCACGCTCCTTTTTTGCGCTCGTGCCTTCCGCACGTACCAGCATATGATCACCCATGTCACAATGCCGAGACCCGTCTTACCAAAACCAACAGAGCTGCATGACCCAAGCTCGCTTGCATTGAACATCCTGTGCACAGGGCATGCGCTAAGCATGCAAGGTTCCGGGCTGGCTTCTTCAGGGGCGTGCTTGCGACGATGAAGGTCATCCAAGGCTAGGTTCCTGGCCACGGCAAACACGCACTCCTTGGTTTTGGCAGCATTGCATAGCTGTTCAAGATCATGTAGCCACGTTCAATGATGCTCTCAAACGGACTCGCGGAATTGCTACGATATCAACGGAGTGCAGTGCATGCTCACGACAAATGGATGAAGTTTGACCGATGATGTGAGAAAGCGCGATGGCCCAGCCAGTGTGTAGTTGCCGATCTGTATATCAGAAAGTTGGTTGCCTTAAGCCTACGTTGTAGGTCACCGGCTATATCAAAGCAATCAAAGCTGGCTGAGGTGTGCATCTCTTGACTTAATATGTCATGCAATTTGGCCGTGGCCTGAAGCAACAGAAGAGGCCTAAGTTGAGTCTGGTGCCTCTGCGCCTTTTGCTTGGCTATAGGTACTGAAGCTGTTTTCCAGACCAGGATGCTTAAGGCGCAAAAGCTGTAGAAAGCAGAGCCATGCAAAAATGCTCAGCATTGGAACTCAACAGGCTGCTGACGTAGTGCTGAGGTCCAAATATGTACGCAAACTGTTCATCTCCCAAGCCCTGATGTTCGCATCCAGGGATCCACCACAAGTGAAACCAGGAAGGCAGGCTGAATGGGCGGGGGCTCCGTCTCATTCATTAAGAGCAGCAACTTCACCTAAGGACAGAGCGGATTCAAAGCTGTGGAAATCAATCGCAGTCGCAAAATGTTGTAAGCCCACATCTTGCACAACCTCCTTGCTATTGTAGTTCCCTCAACCGAGAAAGCTAAGAACTCAAGAGTGCTTTCAGCGTACCAGGCAGGCCCTCGTTGAAACATGTCCCCGGAAAGAAAACTGCAGGGATTTCTGGATTCCTATGATTCCTGAGAACGGCACACGCGATGCTGCGCGCGCAGCGGACCCTTCAACAGTCTTATGTGCACCCAAAACGCACTCGGTGCAAGGTTTGCAAGGCACGGGCCGTCAGAGTTGGCACCTTTCCACGAACTCTCATTAGGTGCTGCCCCGAACACTACGGCACGAAAGAGGTACGGCTACTGCATGGCTCAGCCCAACACGATCCAAAATTGCCTGAGCTGCCGTGAAACATGGAGCGGTGGGCTTGCTTCCTGCCCTGCAGAAACTGTCACTGACAGCTATGCAATCTTGCTTGTTTCGCACCATCTGGGTGCCACTATATACGTTCAGCACTGCAATGAGCACTTGAGCACAAGGCGTTCTGGAGGCTTCCCCGACCCTCTTGTCCTGTGTGCTTCTGCGCAAACAGATCGGTTGACCAAGCTTCGAAACTGGTTTGCTTGCGTGGGTCTTGCTTAGTATATGTTAGGTGGACTCCCCACCCTGTAACAGTGATTAGACGGGACAAAAAGGATTGTATTGAGATCTTATTATATTCCTCTTACACCGCTATTACAGGGTGGGGGTCTCCTAAAGTGTATGCCATGCTATAATGGTCCAGAGCGTAGTGTGTCCCTCTTCCTCGGGGAAAAAAAGCGTTCTAAGAATGATCTGCAGTTGCTGGTTCATTGAGATTTTCCAATGCACACGCTGCCTGCACTGCGAAGAGCTGGAGCACCTGATGATGCAGCTCCTGCCTGCACCCAGACAGCTTCAAGGGCGAGAATTCATGACGAAACCGCATGCGCGTGCCAATACGTCATGCCCAGCCTGGGCTAGATGAATCATTACCATGCTTACTCATGGGCTTCACTGTGCCAAAGGGATGTAGAATCAATGTAGAATCCTAAAGAGCGACCCACGCGATGCCCTCAGCCCACTGCATCTGGCAACTAAAGGACCGGAGAACCCCACATGTGTAGTTTAACCCGAATTTAAGTTATATACTATTAGGATACCGTCGGCCGGCGATATAAGAAGACATGTATAAGAGAATGCAAACTCTTGAGACCACATGCCGCGGCGAA